TGGGCTTGCAAACTTTCAATGTTTACATTTTCGAAAAATGTAAATATATCAATTGAAGTAAGCTGTAAAAAACTTTCAGTTTGTTCAAAGAGGTTAAGAGGTACAGGTTGTGCTCCCGAGAGATTCAAAAGTTTTAGGATTATGAGAATAGTAGTAACAACATCTGATTACAGTTAAAAAGGGGTTGGTTATGTATTAACAGGCTATATAAAATATATTTCATATATTTACACACTAAAGACTAAAAAGTAGAAAAAATTTATAAATAAGACAACTTTTTAAAATACCACGTTTTTAAACGAACTAAAAAGCAGAAAATAATTTATTTTCAGCTTTTTAGTTCGTTTAAAAACGTGGTATTTAAAAAAGTTTTTTTAATAAATGATTTATACTGATGTAGAAAACCCACATATACACGAATCAGCTGTATCCAACATTTATAAAATTAAGTTTAAAATAGCCACTCAAGTTTGCTGCTGTCAAAAATTATGATTTTTTAACTGTAAAAATAACTTGAATAACTCTATAGTTAACAGCATTGTTCTTTGGTCTGGCTTGGTTAACAAGTTGATTTAAATCTTTAAAAATGTTCAGCGTAATATTCCAGTGGTTCAGTTCAACTTAGTTCATTACACCATTCTTAATAGATGGACTTTGTAGTTCCAGCCATGCACTAATTCGAGTGAGAACCTTTTGGCAATGTCGCAGCGGATGGACTCGTTGACACCAGTAATGGTATACTTAATGCCATCTGGGGATTTACTAGAAAGCTCAATCTCGCCTAGATTTGGCTAAATATACACCGAGCCTCTTACACAACTCTAAGCCTTGATAGCAAAATGCCTGTTGAAACCATTGTTTGCTATACATATAGAATATGTAAACTTCTAAAGTTTTAGATTAAATAAACCTACCACATATTTGGATAAAATATTATATTTAACTAGGGATCCGTCGAAATCGACGGTTACTTTCAAGGCTAAGAAGCTAACTGCGATAAATTGAGTGAAATAATACAAATTTTGAGCATTTAGCATGGTTTAATGAGTAATAAGTGTAAACGCAATAAGGACTATTGCGTTAGTTACAAAATATGGTTGATAATTTAATGAATAAAATATTTCCCATATCGTACGACATCGGAGTTATTATTACTACGTTAACTGGTTTCCCTTCTTTTGGAAGAACCTTTAAATAGTATTAAAACTGTCTGTATTGGTGCATCTTTTGTGTTTAAACACTTCCGCGATTTCATCAGTGTACTGCAGATTAATCTATGCTTTTATTTGAGAAAAATATCTCTTTGTTAAGAAGGTACGTTCTTATTTCAAAGGGGTCCACCTGTTAGTTGAGTAAGTTTTATATTTTTCTTCGTCACGTCGTGTCGTCATCATATCATACGTCTGTGCCAATGAATAACACTCTAGCATAGTTGTGAGAAATTGGTCGTGGAAATTTCTTGAGATGCGGGTGTCAGTTTTGTCAGCCTTATCAATTACATAAGGTTGTCAATATAATCTCTCTACGGAATATTAGTTGTAGTGGAATATACCTTTAGTGAAGCTGGCTTTTATTCTTGAACTGTTAGGGGCCTCCTCGTTCTTATGGCCGTGCGGCTTCATATGCAACAAATAATGCAAATGACATAGTAATGCTGCATCTCCAAAAAGAAAAAAAACTGTAAATTGACTGATACGTAAATAGTGACGTTTACATGCATTGTTGTAATCAACGTATCTTATAAAGGATTATGTGATCTAGTTTTGAAAGGAACATGACCTTTCTATCATGACAGTAGCTGCTTAAATGGTAATTACTCTTTGTGCCATTTTTTACAGTCAAATTGTAGTGTTATTTGCAATAATCTCACCAAACCAGTGGGCCACGGCCCATAATATAGGCCACTGCAAATAATTTGTCAAGATAGGTACCATTTTAGGCAAGGTTTCTAAGGTTTCTTGTTTGGATGTTATTAGACACGATAAGAGCATAATGAGTATTTTGAAACTATCTGGGTAAGTTAAATAGTATTTTTTTAGGCTGCTGTTTGTTATATATTTTAAACATTTTAACTAGTTTCGGAAGATACGAAGGAGGTGAAAATTAGACAATTCTACATTTATAAAGTGTTGTCAACTAATATAAAATCTAATCAATGGTTTAAAGGATGGCTTCCTTGAATGTTGGTCTTCACACAAGCGCTTACCAGATAACAGTAGATTATTTTAACGGTTACCAACTGTTTTGTTCCAAGTACAACAACCAATAAACAGTCGTTTTCAATCCAACGTGTCGTAGTGACGTCAGTCCAAGTCTTAACGCAAGGTTATTGCAATTGGTTTATTTTGTAGGTAAATTATATCAGCTGATAAGTTGCAAGCGTGTTAGTGCAATGTAGCTATTTTGTATAACAATCTATGTAACCTTTGGACTTTACTTTTACTTTTCAATGAAATGGCGACCATACAAATAGGTATTTTAAGCCAAGTATGAATGGAGATGAGTGTAGGATGAGTGGCGCGATCTTGTAGTCTTGTTACGACAAAATAGGTTCGACCTGTAGTCAAAATCTCCATCAACAACATGATGTCTAGTTGCAAGTGCAACATTGACAAAACATCCAAATAAATAAATAGTAAACAAAACACGCGATAATGATAGAGATTTGACTGAGGTAGGACAGCCTATTTGTTAAGGTTTGTATTTTTTACAAAACCCTTCTGTTACTCCATGTTTTAGTAAGTGTGAAGAGCTCTGCAACTTTATGTATGTAAATAAGTAAGTTTTTTTTCACGGTTGGTACTGAAGTTCTCTGAAGTTTTCAGTTTATTTTTTTAGTCTAATTGTTTGTCTGCCAATACCAAGTACATTGGTTGTTCGCGTTTCATTGGACAACGAGATCAGCGTTTCTGATGGGAGGTTTTACAGCGTTCTCTGTAGGAGAAAGATTTACACAGCTTAAAACTGGCCTTATCACCTTATGATTAAAAAGGACTTTTACTAACTCCTTTAGCGAGATAAGATGGTTCTAAATCACAGAAAAGGTCACATTCAGGCATGGGAGTGTTGCCTAACCTATTGTCATCTATATAGGTCTAAACTGTTCTTGCTTTCTGAAGGAGACAACATATATTTGTAAGGCTAACGTGTAATGTGAAACATATAATTAACTTCGCAACGAAATAATCAGAAGCGTCAGTAGGAAGTTTCCAATTTATTATATTTGTTTTGTTGAATATTCCAATGTTTACACTTATGTTTTTCACTACTAATTGAGAACCGACACAAAGATATAAAAAACTATTAGAATAACTATAATTGAATATTTCGCAAACCCGTCGACTTAGAATAGTGCTTTAGACTTTCAACCTATTGTGAAATCTGAAGGCTGTTTGATGTGTGTTTCATGTAGGTTTACGAGTGCGTTGTTGCCAAATACGTTTCTTTCTTGTTTCCTGATGGATTTTACGATTCGTGCTATGGTTACACGCTGCTCTATGGTTACAAAACACAGAACCAGCAGTAGTTTGCAAAAATATTTTTTGCTATATATTAGCAAAATATAATACACATTGTTTAAATGCCTATAACGAATAATGTCATAATACAAACCGGACAGAATTCTTCGGCTATTAGTATTCTTTGGCTGTTCTCATGTAAAATAAGGGCATGTTTGGTATAGTTATTTGTGTAACTAGTGTGCGAAGTGGCACTTTGCTGTACATGAGATAAATGTACAGGCACGAGCCGTAGGTGAGTGTGGAAAGTTTCTCGAGTGCAGCAAAGGCAGTTTGCACTCGCGTTACACATTGCACTGTTAGTATAAAGCATATAAATAATTAGTCTTTCAAACACTGAACATCACGTTTTTAGGGTACGATCCAAATATTGAACGAAATGGGGAACGCTACACCAGCTGATCGTGGTCGTAATATCTTTTTCACCACACTATGATGTTTTTGGCTGTATTACATACGTTAATTGGTGGCTGAAAGTAACGTTTTGCTGGCCATGCCAGCTGTCATCGTAATTTGGGGACCGAGCAGGTTTTTACAGGCCGGGGCCGCAAAATCAGCTGTCCGCTTACTTACTTAAAACATGAATGCATCTTAAATACACAATCAAAATCCATAGCATTGCAATAGAATTGTGTTATTGTCACCGTTGCCTAGCAACTATTTATTTTTATTTTTGCTGATTCCTCAAATTATTTCTTCACATAACCTTAAATGTGTAGTTGTGTTGACCATCAGTGTGCATTATTATAGTGGTGAATAGCGGTAATAGGGTATAGTGTGGTGAAAAATAGCGTTCGTACCACGGACCGAAATGGTTTTGCAGCTCTCGATCGATTTAAGATCTCGACTTCGTCTCGAACTTAAAAACTATCTCGAGCCGGCAAAACCTCATTTTCGGCCCTAGGTACGAAATATACTATAAATGTTGCCAACTTACTTTAAAGCGTACACGTATTGCATGCCTAATGAAAGCACGCTGTTTTGTGTGTTGTTTGGTTGGAATACTTTCTGTACTATAATCATTGCAAGGAAGGCCACGTAGGAATAGTTTTAATCTGTCCTTGCTCATTGGGATTTTATTAAATTATCCTGACTAGTTAAACAGCTGTTATTAATTAGCAATCAAGCTACACAAGGCATTTCCCTTCATTTTAAAATCATATTCGGAAACGTCAACATCTCAATTTGTAGTATAATAAGTACAGTTTAAAATTCTGAAATCTTACTTCATATATTTACAAACCATTAAACGATTGAAGTCTTTGTTGGTTCGTAAGTGTAAAGAACTCTTGCAAATATCTAATAGAACCTCCATTAACATCTGACCAAGTCCGATGCCAGCTGATGCGCCTTACAGCGTATAGTGCGTTAGCACCGCGGTCGCGACGCTTGAATTCCTCAACTCTGGCAAACGCCACTGGCAACACCACCTCCTCTTGACACTTTGCTAATTTTAGAAATTTATATAAAATGTAGATTGTGTCAGTAGAGCTGTATCTGAGCTGCAGTATGCCTCGTCACCGCCGCCACCGACACAAGGTAAACCTTCAAGTGTATTGTGTTTTCTGTGTTCTCTTACTATTTTCTATTATAAAAACGAGTTCTTGTTATATATTTTTGAATTGAGAATCAAATTAAATTTAGTGGTTTACATCACGGATTTGTCAACACAAGAAAATACATTTTTTCATTAGTCAATTGTGTAGGTGCCACACTGTATTAGGGAATTAGAGCATTTAACTAAGATTTTAAATTGTTTATGTAATCTGTTACGAAGTCCACCCTAAATAATAATCATGTTGTTTTTATCCTTTTTTCTATTCTTGACACTCAAAAGAGATGTTAAGTGGTTTGTTTATTTTCATCTTTCCTTTCGGGTTTTCTTACTACTACCCTATAATTTGATAGTTTCATTAATATAAGTTATGGTCAACATTTTCTGTATATCATAGCTTTTTTTTAAGTAAGTTTTGTCTACAACACTGGAAAATATCAACAAAGTTCAAAATTGTCTGTATACCATTTTATTCAAAAGTTAGTTTTGTCTGTATCACTGGAGTTTTCTTTTTGTTACTGATTGATCATCTCAAAGTGTACACTACAGTTATTTTGTGCTGATATTTACTGCTAAAGGATGATAATTTTTTGATTGTGTATAACAATTTACTGTTAAATCGTTGTAATTGACGCTTCATTGTAATTTGGAATATTTTGTAGAGTAATTAAATTAAATGAGTTTGTTCATTAGCACATTTCTTACTTGAATTGCTACAATGAGCAATAAAAGATGTCTTGTCAACTATTAAGCTCAGGCTAATTAAGCTTATAGGAACACAATCTTTTAAAAAAAAAAAAAACCAAAAAAGAATTATATTTTCTTATATTACACTATTTCAGAACAAATTGACAGCTGGAGCAGTGTGATTTACAACTCATGAATTGCCTGAAAGTTTAAAAACTATAACTAAAGAGGTCTGTTGTGAAATAGTTTCATTTAATTAAATGGTCGCTCTTGATTTGGTTTTGAAAACTAATTCTTGCTAACAAATCTATATATCGTTATACGAGTCTAGACCAGAGTAATACAGGCCCCCAACGAGTTGTGCCAATGAGCTCTATATTTTTTGTATTAAATTACGTTCAGGAACATGAGATAGATGTTAACTGTAGTTTTTGTAAATATTTATGAACAATAAAAAAATTTAAGCATTGAACCAAAGAAATTTAGAAACACAATATTTTAAAATGTTCGTAGACATCTTTTAAATGTTTTTTTGTGTAGCCTACAGTATGCTGATAAGGGATCTATAAATATTATAAATATTTCAGAGTAAAGGTTTATAATTCCACACATTAAATAGTAGACAATTAGTATAATTTATGTAAACGTTATGATTTCACATATTTATTGTAGATATGGATGAGTATACGTCTTGCAATAAGTTACTGTTATTGCCTAATTCGTAGTAATTCAACTTCTTTCCACTGTTGAAAAGCAATTAATCCATTTTAGATGGTTTTTTATATAAGAATCTATACAAACTCAACATGCAATATAAAACAATCAAGACATTCATAATAAACTTAATACTATAGACTTAAATAATATAAAATGTAATATTTATAGTAAGATTACATATTGAAATAAAGCTTTGCGTTTTAATTAAATTTGGCAACTGAAATGCTATGAGAAGGGATGGAAAAATGTCCAAGACATAGGAAATGGTGAAAGAAGTATTAAATGCTTTTTAGCAGTGCGGAGTGAGGGAAATGTGTGTGGCAATTAGATTAATGTATTTAAAATACTAAAATGCTATGGAAAGAGATGACAACAGGTCGACGTAGGAAGTAGTAAAAGTTTAGCATCGCAGAGTGTGGGAACCGTTTGTGACAGTTAGATTAATGTATCTGTAATACTTAAATGCTATGAGAAGGGAAGGAAATAGGTCCATGACGTAGGAAATGGTGAAGGAAGTAGTAAAGGGGGAATCGCAGAGTGGGGGAATTATTTCCCCGAGCAAAGCTCGGTCCCCAGGTACTTGATTTAGCTTCACTAGTTTTGGTATTTACTAAAGTAGGTAAATGTATATTTGACCACTTGAAAACGTCAGAAGTTCTCCCGAAACTTCTAGTGTAGTACAAACTTGTAGGAAAATTCCATCAAACTTACATTAGCTTGATAAACTTACAAAATTACCCATTTTACTCTGTAAAAGTCAAAGCATTCGGTAAGTTATGCTCCTTAAGATGTTACGTCTACACTTCACAAAACATTATAACTGTCACTTTCAATCAAACAATACCTGAGCTATGTGACAGTAATGAGAATAACCAAACTGTCACTGGCAAAGAATGTAATTTGTTGAAATCATATATGAATCTTTACAATTAGGATACATTCTTCTAACTCAGCATCTTCGCTTTAATATGTATAGTTTTTGTTTTATATTTTGTTTATATAACATAATAAAAAGTTCTAACGAATGCTTATTAAGGTAGATTATACGAATCTTTAAATATTCATTAGTAAAGTATCAGCAGATAAAGTTCTTTTAGAAATTACTTATTTGTGTCTGAATTTACATCTGAAGTGCTTAAAAATTCAATGAAGTCTTTTACTCCACAATATAATTTTAAAATCATTATAACATCCCTAAGACTATTTTTACCAGTATAGAGCATGATTTACACGAGTATAAAGAAGTTAGTTTTTAAACTGAATCACATTTAGAACTAATATTTATAAAACGAACATGTTAAAATAAAACTATTACATTGGAACTCTAGTTAACCTATCAAATCATATAACTTACTTGTTTTACGTGTAAAACGTCTTCATTTTCAATTTTTCCACGGTTAATTAAGCTGTAAAGCCAATTTATATTCTGTAGACGTTACCTCTTCATTTTTGACTTAACCAACATTTCCATGCAGAAAATCAGTCTATATTGTATAATAATAAAGTTAAATAACAAACTCGTAAGTTGTGATAACATTAATATCAGCTGTTTACCAGCATTGTTGCGGATATTATATTCTCTCAGTTTGCGTCATGTTAGTCATTGGGATTCTAACAAACAATAGAACAGAAACATTATGGATCAAAAACATAAAAGAATGACGTCACTGGATGAAATCTAATAGTAATAATCTCTACAGATGTTTGGGACGCTTTTTGCAGTTGCCTTGAAATAATAATACAAACATGTTTATTTTCAGGGTCATTATTGTTTATGTTTATGTTTATGATCCGTAATATATTGTTTTGCGGTAAAATAAGATATTTCTAACAAATTGGAGTAAATCGTAGGAACCGTTTTTGAAATCATTGCGCGCAAACGTTACTCGTATTATAGTATAGATAGACGAATACAATAATATAAATTGTTTTAAACTAACCTAATAATCAATAACCTAATAACTTAAACCTGTAAATCAATTGCGTCGGTATTAGCCTAAGTTTAAAAAAATCTAAATATAATTTTTAGTTTTTTGGCAGACGATCTCGTTTTATTTTCAAACGAATTTCACCACGCCACAAATGCCTCATTGGTTATTAATGAATTTTTGTAAATGTGTACTTAACAATAAATGTTACATCTTTTGGCTGTTTAGTAAGCTTATTCAAATATCCAGAAGTATGGTACAACATAAAATAGCTTCTTCACTATAGGGAAATTGGCTCAAAGACATATAACTGAAAAAATACTACCTTTATTTTTATGTATATTCTAAATGCTACATAATATAATATTTACTTTTCGCCACACTACACAGAAAATAACTTCATTCTGAACTCATTTTAAACCAGAAAGTCGTTTACAGCATAATCAGCTGGAGTACGTTAAATGACTGTTAGGTTTTTAATTGCTTACAACAATGTTATGCTATCGATGAAGCTGCCTCCCCCTCCTCTGCGCGTTTAGACTAGTCTACCGCAACAATGCAAATACTATACCGTACTGCTATTGAATATCATAGAACGAACTTGTGTAGTTGAAACAGCTGGATAAATTCTTTAATTTCTTTTAAATATGAATACTCATAAGGTTATATAATATGGGAAACTCTAGAGCCACTGGGGCGGAGCCCGAAAGGATTTTTGAGATAAGAATATGTCTATATGTTTATTGGGAATGTGAGCTATCATCATACCAAATTTAAACCCAATCCGACCAGTAGTTGATGCGTGATTCAACTTCAATCAAACAAACACACAAATTTTTACATTTATAATATTAGTATGATTACTTTTATAAAAAAAAAAAAATAGAAAAAAGTTACATGCATGTGGTTTACCTACTCTATAAATCAAACTAAAGACAATTTTTGTTTCAGAAACCTGGGAGCCCTCATCATGAGCCGGAGCAGAGTTGCGAACCCCCAACACAGTCCGAGGCCAAGTACTATATTGTGAAACAGTCAGAATCACTAGGACGGTGAGCAGGGTCACCACTGTCCTTCATGTAATCATTTTCTTTGATTTAATAGTTAAGACAACGAAGTAAATAGTATACAATAGTTGATGCTATAAGCCTGTAAAACAGTTTACACAGGATTACTACCAGCAACTTCCATTAAAGTCTTGAGTAACCAAGAATTGGGACAGGTATTGGACCTGAATCTCATAGTTGACTAAAGATGTCGTCTTTGTTCTCAATGGTGGAAGAGATAATGTCCTACCCTAGGACATTTTGTTCTACTGAACCTACATCTTCTCAAACTTATCCAACATAACTGACCTCCGGCTTTAGACTAGATACTCTTAACATTATTATGAAACTAGCTGTAACCCGCGGGCTTTGCCCCGTTTAACTTCTTAATTTTCAAGATTATCTCGTTCGCATGGCTCAATCACGTCCTGGTTGAAGTTTGTTCGCTACGCTCACTCACCTTTAGGTTGGAGCTCGTTCGCTACGCTCACTCACCTTTAGGTTGGAGCTCGTTCGCTGCGCTCACTTGCCTTCAGGTTAGCTCGTTCGCTACGCTAACTCGCCTCCAGGTTGAAGTTCGTTCGCTACGCTCACTCACCTTTTGGTTGCAAATTAGCTGTTGTCATAAATGTAAAAGAAATAATAGTGCTGCACCCTGTTGGTAATCCTTGTAACTTTAATGCTATTGAACATCATAGAACAGAACCAACTTGTTTAATTGAAACAGCTGTTAAGATTCAATAATTCCATTTCTCATAAGGTTAACATGGGAAACTCCAGAGCCACTGGGGCGGAGCCCGAAAGGATTTTTGAAATAAGAATATGCCTATATGTTAATCGGGAATGTGAGCTATCATCATGCCAAATTTCAGCCCAATCCGACCAGTATTTTTCGAGTTTACTTTTCCCATACACACATACACACATACAGCAACCACCTCTTTTTTATAATAGTATAGATAGATTACTGTATAATAGCTAATTTTCCCTTAGGGAAGAAAACTATTACCGTAGCTGGCACGGCAACACCTAGACCTGGGACCTATTTAATTTTTCTTTTTTATGTCCCCATCAGAGGTCAAAAACACAATTTGCTAGCATTTGTACCTATGTATTTATATATACGCTGTCTAAATGGGAAGGTAGACTGGACACATTAGATGTTAAAGATTTTAAAATAAATTAATATAGACAAGGCATGCAAGTCTATTGAAACAGTGTTTGGTAGTGACTAATAAATTCATGTGTAAGATGAATGGATTAAATAGAACTAGAGGTAGTACAGGAGTAAAAAAATCTACCAAAAATATGTAATGTACAGACTTCTCTATTTTCACCCCATACTGTAAATAAACCATGTGATTGGAATTTATTCCATTTGTTTTGACTTTCTGTTAATATTTCATTGTTATTTTGTCACCAGCATGACAACCCATAAGGCCCATATGTTAAGTTTTAAAATTTTAAATTCATTGTTTGTGCTTATTTTTTAGCATATTTTTATTAATAAAGGGATTCTGCACTTCTACAGGAAAATATCTTTCTAACAGTATGCGTAGATTTTCCCTGAGATGCACACGAGCTGAGAAAAAAGTTTTCAAGAAACATGCCTAGTAGAAAAACTGCTACCAAAAATAAAACAATAATTAATTCTTTTGTCTCTTTACAGCCAGACCAATCGTTGTAAACGTGATATCTTATTCCACAGATGATGTCATTCCCTTCTCTGCCCATACATATTTTAAACTTTATATAGCATTTCTAACAAATTAGCCTGAAAATTGTGCTAAAGTGGCCTGATAGTGAATTGTACAACGTTAGACACTATCCAATGCCATTCTGATTTGTTGCACAGATATCTGGAGGCCAGTCGAGACATTGCTGAAGGTACAGTCATCATAGAGGCAGAGCCACTGGTAGTGGGTCCTGTGTCTGATTCTGCACCTTTATGTCTGGGTTGTTACACAGAACTGAGCAGCATCGACTCTGCAGAAAAGTATGGTTCATATTTTTATTTTTATAAGTCTTGAGTAATCTAGATATTCTAAAACCTCAAAATTACAAATCATTGTCTTGGTAAAATAGGAAGGTCTAGCAAGTTTTTGAGTGACATAATCATCATCCGGTAACGTAAAAGTTGCTGAGTAATTTGCTAAGCATTCAGAAGCTTGTGACCTCATAGTGATGAGGTGTTGAGGGAGGAGGATCCCTTTCAAAACCCTCGATACAAAAAATATTTGCATGGGGATTAAAACTCGCTAAATACGTTTAAGAATGACTCTTTGAAGAAGTCCTATATCAAGATGAAATACCAGTGTTCTGTTAGGTATGTGATATCTTAGATTTATCTTTTGGAAAAATATTGAGATTATTTCATTCTTACCAATTCATGCTTTGAAAGAAAATATGTCAATGTATTAAATCCACTCTACATCTTAGTCAATATTCTTATGTCACTTGACATTGAGATACATAGCTAAGTAGTATAGCTTGTAGCATGGTAAGTTAATTCATCTACGCCTTCAATCAGTAACTAACACACTTTCTTGTAGATGCAAATCCTGCAAATGGCCATTATGCTCCAACACTTGCAAGGGCTTAAACAAAATCAATGGACACAGCAAAGAAGAATGTTCGCTCCTCTCAAAATGCCCGATTGAAAGTAACAGTCTTCAAAAGCAACAGCTGTACAATGCAATATTCCCACTGAGATGTCTAATGCTGCGAGAACATCAGCCGGAAAAGTGGAGAATCCTGAACACAATGCAAGCTCACAACGAGCTACGGAGGAAACAGCAGTCCATCTGGAACTACAACCAGAAGTCTGTTGTGGATCGGATAAGAAATGAGTGGAAGATTGACAAATTCACTGAGGAGGAAATCCACACTGTTTGTGGATATGCTGAGGTATGTTTTGCACTATATTGCGTTAATTGATGTAATACAAAGTTTTATTTGTTTTTTTATTCAAGCTGTTATAGTTACATAGCAATTAACTAGATGCCCTCGTAGCGCAAATGTTATACTGAAATAATTTTCAAATTGTATGGTATTGGCCAATGATTCATTATGGGTATTAGAGTACTTATTGTTTGAAGTAACCTAGTGATCGAGTTACAGACACCTATAGTTACACAATGATAGAGTCACAAAATTTAAAAAGCGTTGGTGATTAAGGTACATTATTGAAACATTTTAAATATACATTTGGTTCTTTAAAAAGTAATTTCAACGTGTTTATAATGACAGGTGAATGCATTTTCCATTGGTGGGGACTCTATCAACATCCAAGGTCTCTACCCGGAAGCATACTTCTTCGCTCATGATTGTGTAGCCAACACTTCACACACAGACGATGAGAACTACAAGATAAAGGTGTTCACATCTGTCAAACTACGCCAAGGGCAAATGTTAACTTTGTCTTACACAAACTCTCTAAAGGTAACCACCCCTATTACCACTTCCTCCAATAAATATCATTAATGCAAGCAATGACAGTAATTTTGTCTACACATTGATAACAGTAGATCTACAGGAATTTAATAAACTAGTGCACCTGTTGCTCGAATTCGAGCAATTGCAAAGTATTACAGGAATAACAGTCATAATTTCCGATGACTTAAAAGAGTCAACTCAAAGATAATGTAATCAATCACTCCACTCCAGTTATCGAAACTGAAAACGAACAGAACAAACGCTCTTGTGTGTATCATGTGTTTACTATGAACAGCTGTAATTAATACAACTTATTCGTCTGTTTAAGTAAACAAAATCTTTTCATCATAAGAAATACATTGGGATTTTGATGGCCTGTGGGGCAAAGCCCGAGGACTTTTATTACAGGAATTGGTGAAAGGGGGCGTCTACACAAAACATACTTTATTTTGACACATCGTTTGTAAAAATCCGTCCATTACGGAGGAGTAGTGTTTCGTAGAAAACACCTTCACCTATTATATATAAGGATTAATGATCTTTATGGAAACGCTTCTACAGTTTTTTACAGTATTTAGTATAGTATTGTATTGTAAGGTTTGATCACACTTACATAACCTTGTGTCACTTCCAGGGTACAGTCAAACGTAGGGAGCACCTGAGAAAGTGCAAGTTTTTCGAGTGCTCATGCCAGCGCTGCAGTGATTCCACAGAGCTCGGCACTTACATGAGTGCGCTCAAGTGCCGGAACTGCAGTGCAGGTCGAGTGCTGCCCGTGGAGCCCCTCAGAGACGACACTGACTGGAGATGTGACGCTTGCAACAGCATTCATCTCAACAAAGACATCAACACTGCAATTAACAGGTGATTAATAGGCAAGAGTTGCTACATTATGTTTTACGGTTTTTTTCCCAAAATGAATCATGTTGTTGAGAAAGACTTATTGATTATGTGAACAACTTTTTGTTTGGGATTAAAATACTGATGAAATACCACATCATAGAATCCTGAATTGGTTTGTATAAGAAACACATGGCTAGAATGTGATGTAGGACTGATGGAATTTCATGAATAGTTTATGGTGATAAGTTTATGCAATGAAAACGGTACCTAATACAGAACTGTCTCTAAATGTAAATGTAAACTACTACAAGTTAGGCAGTGATCTGTAAAAGTAGTGTTGGTACAAGTCTGTACAAAATTTACTTGACGTAATTACTTGTCGAATAAGAAGCTAAGCTGGGTGGTTAGTACTCGTCTAATAATCGGTGGGTCGCCAGGTAAATCGGGAGAAATATAGCTTTTTGATGATCTAAAACTTTGTACTCAGCTGCCCTCTTGGACTGGGTTTTAAAATAAATTGTATGTACCGGTACTAAAGAAGCAGCTATTCTTATCAAGAACAACACTTCACTGGCCATCTCACTCCATTCTACAACCCCTCTGCATTTATATACAGCTTAAATACACACCGACGTGTGAATCTCGGATTTCTCCCATTATTTGTGTAAGCCTTGTTTATCTTTGTCACTGTCTAAGACCAGTTAATTTTCCAACATCACCACATCTCAATGATAGCGGATTGGGTCTAGAACGTTCAAAACTTCAAGTAGGTATTTTCTTAGTCAGTCTGACACGTGGGACATTTAGTTTCAAACAATAGTATTACAATTTTCATTTCTGTATTGTGCATTGACTTGTAATGTATTTACTGGGAGACAAGAAAATATTACTTTATTATTTACAATATTATATAACAGCTGTGTAGTAAATAGCCTCTCAGCTGACCAGCTTTCAACAAGAGTCAATTCTAAACGTTATTTAAACTGTTTAGGGTTGAACAAGAAATCAGTGGGTTGGACCAGGAGAAGGTGCTGTTGATAGAAGCGGCTATCCGAAGGTACAGTGGGCTGTTACACCCCAGCCATTACCTCATAGTGGGCCTCAAGTACTCACTGAGTCAACTGTACGGCAAGACAGCTGGCTTCCTCATCAGTCAGATGAACGAAGAAACACTTCAGCGGAAAGTGCAAATCTGCGAAGACATTCTGAAAATCTTTGACATTGTGGAGCCAGGATTTACACGTATCAGAGGTAAAAGGGTTCAAGTGTTAACTGATACAACCCTTCTGAAAATGTAGTTGAGTATTGATAAACTAAGAGGTTTTATAATCCAAAGTGCACCTCTTATATGAGTACAAAATAGATAATGCATTTGCATTACTCCTCTCCTGTAAAAATGTTAACCTCAGATGATATGTCATTTACCCTATTGTTTATTAACTAAATTAGCAATGTAATGATATTGCTAATTAAGTTTGTTAGTATAAGTTAATTCTAATAGTTGTCTGTTGTCTACTTTTTTAACAGTTAAAAAATGTATTTCATAGTTCCTATGAACCTGTTAACATTTAAAAAAATATTTTGGGAGGAAAACGTTCAACTTGAGATACAAGGAAGTTTGTCCGCAGCTAAGGAACAATTTATCTAAATCAATGACGATGGCAGTAATGGCTTAACTGTATTTCTTCCAAGGTAAACTAGCTTCTACCCCCCTTGATTCTACAATTCAAAATCCTGGCATAGAGCCTATCCTTGAAAAAAAAAAAACACATCACTATATCAGACAAGTTTAACATTCAATATTTCCAAACAACGAAATAATGTTTTTATAATTCATATGGTTCATACCACAACCATAAACAGTCTACCAAAAGTTCTAGCATCAACAAATAGCCACCATATTGTAACGTTACAACAAATATTTGTTCTTGCAGCAATAACTATGTACGAGCTCCACGCACCTCTCATGATACTGACAATCAAGCAGTCTGAGAGAGGCCACATATCTCACACTGATCTCGCCAGAAACCTGAAAAGAGTGGCGTTCTACCTGAGAGAGTGTGTCAGACTGCTGAAATTTGAGTCGAAAGGTACCCAAGAGGACTCCATCAGAACTGCAGCTGTAGAGGGCTTGGTTCAGCTCAAGAGTTGGGAACCAGCTGTAGGGAAACTGTGAATTAAGCTATTTTACAAATGTCTGGACAGTCAGAGACACCCCTGAGTGTATTTTCAGGGGGGAGCCAAACCGGTATCTCGTTTGAAGGGAAAAATCTCTTACCACAAACAATTTTAACAAAGAATGTAATTGAAATTAAAATTGTATACTACTAGTCACTTATCCAGTGCTAATGCAATAAGTTTTTTCTAGAAGTTCTTCTTTATGTCAGCTCACTGTGTTTTAAGTATTGACAAAAGACAAAGATTGCTAAAAAGATCTTTTGAGACCTTTCCTATAAGAGCTCATTTTTAAAAGAGGATTTTGATGATTAATTGTTTTTATTTGTTTATGCTATTTAAAGTAAATAGCAATAATGTGATTTTTCATCAATTACACAGATCTCTGGACGAACTGAGCTATATATTGTTTTATAGCTCAAATCATTATTTTAAACTATCTTGTTGGTACCAGTTACTTTTTATAAACCAACACTTACAGTAACAAGAAGGGTTGTGATGTCACAATGACATCACTGAAAACACCCGATTGTAATAAATCATATTTCAATTAACCTAACTATTGACAATGTATGTTCCAAGTCACCTGCTGAAGACTTATTTGTCCCAATATAAGATTATTGATTGCCAAAGCCAAAAGCCAACTGTACTTTAAACTAATACATTCTAATAAAAGCTAAAATATTGACTCCGATTACAAAATTTAGCGGTTTAAGGGGAAGCGATTTCATCTCCACCTCACCCTAACTTTGATACAACAGCCGGTAGCTGATATACATATTAAACTAAGAAAATGTGATGGGGGAACCCAGGTAACCTTCAGTCTTCACCTTAGACCCCCTAAATTTTGTGAACGGACTATAAGGATAATATAATGTTAACTAGTTTATAATATTTCTTTAACTTTGGCCGGATATATGGTACATTTACTCTATGTTTTATCACATAATACTCTTGTCTATGTCACGTTTTCCTTTGTACTGCCACTGTCTTTGTTTTGTGTTTTTCTACGTCAATGGCATTTTTTAATAATTTATTGTAAGAGTCTATCAATGTCTAAATCATTCAAGTGATTAACACTTATTTAATTTAGTTTCATTTGGTCTATCTCTGATTTGTGTATTTTTATCATTTTTTTTTATAATCATGGATGAGATAATTGTCTAATGTTTTACACAAGGTTATTTGTTTGCACTATGGCATATGATAATAATAAATGGAATAAAAAAGAGTAACGCATTATTTCCTCTTTACTAAATCCTAGTATTGATACTTGAATAAGTTTATATTGACCTTGGCTTGGTAATGATTTTGAAGCTGAGAAGCCACAAACTTTAACATTACTCCTAAATCACAAGCATGTTTAGTTTCTGTATCACTAATTATTGCAAAATGAGCTAAAATCACACTTTCGATCTCTTTAGGAAATTAAGGAAACCTTTAGAGACAAAAACTTAAAAAATACACTTGAAGAACATTGGATTATAGCATAGACAAATATAATAAATATAGATTGTCAGCTGTGCTGCGGTTCTGGCGTCCACCGCTAAGTTTGCCGTGCAGTTACGAGTTACGGCGCACACAGCTGCAGCGTCTACTGGTCTCATGACGCATACGGCTCCTGTGCTCCTCGCCTACAGCGGTGTGCGCCGTAACTACACGGCACTCCTAGCGGTGGGCGCTGGAACCATTCTTTGACAGTCTATATTTTATTCTATTTGTCTATGATTATAGTGGGTTATGTGGAAAGCAAAAAAACCAAGTTTACAAAAATATTTATTCTAAAAAGTTATATCACATGTCTTTGTGTTCTAGGTCTCTTATCTCTAAAATTGCAGTTTTCAGTCGTAATTTGATAATTTCTCTCCATATTTCCTGTCGGTGATTAGAGTCGTGGATTCCAAGACGGAAAAGAGTTGATTCAGTGAGTCTAATCAATGCTCTGCCTGTGATGTCATGCTGAAAAAAATTAATCATTAAATTAAATCATTAAAAATGATTTTGTTTGAAACACAATTATTTCAAACTTCAAGAAATCATACTTGAGGCTTTTAAATATGTTTTTAAAATACAGGGCGTTTATAAAAGAATCATCAGGTTTTAAAACATTTTATTGACGTTAATGTTAAACAAATACGGATATAAAATATATCAACATAAAGGAGAACTCTTTAAATTTTTCATAGATACCCCTACAAGAGCTCAATGTGTCGGCCATCAGCCGTGGAGCAAGTTTCCAATCTATGCTGTAAATTGTCAAAAACACCAGCTAGCATCGCAAGTTTGATTGATTCTACGGCATTGCGATTTCGTCCACAGAGCTCTTGAAGCGTTTGAGGCATTGGCGGTACATGAACTTTGTCTTTGTCTTTTACATAGCCTTGTGGAAAAAATCACATACTGTAATATCAGGAGATCTTCTGCCAATCCACATCTGAGGTAGCTTCTCATTGAAGTTACGAACATAGATATTAAGGAGGAGGATGAGGCAGAGTTCTCAAACTAGCAATACCACCTTAAAATGCTTTTGTATATAGGAGGGGTCTGTCTAAAATGCCTCCCAAACTCACGCTGGACGGTTATTAAAGATAAACTTAAGTCATAATGAAAAACACAAAATGTTTTTTCTTGAATTGTAATCATTTTGAAAATTATGCAAACACGTCCAAGAAAAAAACCAAGACTGATTATTGAACAGCTTATTATAAAACATGGAAACATGCTTTTTAAGCACATGTTTAAAATATTAATGTGGGACATGAATTGGGTGAGGTACATGCCATTAAAACCTGATGATTCTTTTGTAAACGCCCTGTATTAATAACAAATATACCACATTGCAGGTCGATCAGGAACAGACAAATTCCTGCACTATGGTTTGTTCATACTGCTTGCGTCCCAAGGGTAGGCAATGTGGTATATTCCTGCTAGGCCTATCGTAAAACTACTATTTATTTATGTGTTGTGTGTATAAGTGTAATAAACACCATCAACAAAGCAACATATATAACTTTATATGCCACATGATTGAACCGGTTTCTTCGAACTATGGTTCCTTTGTCAGTCAGCACTTTATAAGATCGTGGTGAGTACTTGTCCTTCACGTTCCAGATCAGATATCCAAACTTTGGTTCCTGGGTTTACATATTTGATAAGGGTCGAGCACCATGTCATCGATCGTAATTTTGTTTGTAGTTTTGTCTATAATGATTCTCCTTCTCTCGGAGATGACTGAAGCCCAGCTTTTTTTCCAGATGACATGGTAAAGTAGGCAAAATGTCCCGTAGTCTGCGTCCATATAATAACTGTAACCATTGGCATCTGGAGAGTTCCTGTAAGACATCTCTAAGGGAGTATAATCTATATTTGTTTTATACATAATTTGCCTCCAGGATTGATCTATTGACATAAAATGAGGTTACTAACCTGTCGTCAATCAGTCCTCTATTGTCTTGGATGACTAGTTTCGAGGTTAAAACCCCATTTTCAAATCTCTTCAGTCGTCAAATGTCAAACATATTTTCTTGCATAAGCCGTCGTCAAAATTACTTCACACATACACATAAACACTAAATGTTTTTGTGTATTTCAGTAATTTTGACGACGGCTTATGCAAGAAAATATGTTTGACATTTGACGACTGAAGAGATTTGAAAATGGGGTTTTAACCCCGAAACTAGTCATCCAAGACAATAGAGGACTGATTGACGACAGGTTAGTAACCTCATTTTATGTATATTTGTTTGTGAAATAATTTTGTTAGTCAATGATATGGAAAATCACCAATTAAACATAGTTGATTGCTTTGTTCTTTTTTACAGATTTCTACACAATGGGGTAAAAATTCTAAGTTAACTACAACCATATGTCACTTAACTTAACTGCTAAACAATATTTCGGGAAAACAGGCACACAATCAAGTGTTATATGACAAACTAAACACTTTACCTGTTGAAATATTTCTCCATATAGGGGGTAGTAATCACTGCAATGTCTTCTTAGCCACTTCTGTACATCAATGACACTCCATAGGAAGACTGGTCTAGGACGAGCTGCTCGAGGCTGAATACAAAACATTACTAAGTTTAAAATTGCAAGGCTAGAGACAAATTATTTAAGTCACAGAAGCAGCAAGCCTTGTTAAACTGCAGTCTTATCACATTTTATTGATGATGCTAACAGTAAAAAATACTTAAAGTAATATCTTATAACTTATGTTAGCCTCAGGGCCTGATTAAGGGTCTAGTCGCCAGTAGGCTGACTTTTTTCACGCCCCCCTCCTCCCTACTTTCACTACCCTTCCTCTCTGCCACCACTTTCAAAATTTCAAAGTATGAATACTAATAACTTACTGAATTCAAAAATTAAAAATGGCCAAAGGCATTATACTAATATTCAGTTTATTTAAAAACAAAAGAAAACTGATCATAAATGCATGGTTTGATTAGGAACTTTAAAAATAGTAACAAATCGGATGTTCAAGGAATGTAAAACTTTTATATTTAAAATAATGTATTTATTTCACATTTTATTAAACATATTATTGTATTCAGTGGCGGTTCTAGGACCATGTCAAGGGGGGGGGGCTACCGGGGGGCTTGAAATTTCGAATTTTCAAAGCAGTTTGGTGACTTTCTAACACCAAAAGTGTTTTTTTTTAACACCCAAAACCGTGCCCAATTGTCCATAAACTCCCATTTCACCTGTTGTTTGTCATGAGCAAATAGACATTTTAAAAATTAAACTATGACGATTGCTTTCATGAATTTCAAAACACACTGTAGACTACGGCCATATCCTCCTAAAAGCCGTTGGGCGACTTTCTACAGCCAGTTTTAACGTCTAGAACTGTGTACAAAACCTCCCATTTCCCCATTTATTTGTCATGAATAAGTAGACATTTTTAATTAAATCTACAGTAACTATGACGATTGCATTAATTCATAAATCTCAAAACATATTGTAGGCTACGGCCATATCCTCCTAAAAGCTGTTTACTGACTTTCTAAAGCCATTATTAATGTCTATATCTGTGGCCAACTATTCAAAAATTTCTCATTTCACCTGTCATTTGTTTTGTCATGAGCAAGTAGACATTAAAATAATCAAGCTATGACGAACTTGCATTCATGAATTCCAAAACATAGGCCTACTGTAGACTACGAAGCCAAATCTCCTAAAAGCCGTTTGGTGACTCAAAACATAACGGATAGAACTGTGTCTAATTGTCCTATAACCTTCCATTTCTCTTGTTTTATGTCACGCAAGCAAGTAGACACGTTTATTAACCTTACGTTTTTCTCCATTTCATAGATCTGTCACAATATTTATAGTATTGAATTCAGTAATAGCATTGAATATATAAACTTTAACACTTAGTGTTTATATAGTCAATGGTAATAGGCTAGTGGTGCTACCGCTGATTGCTGATTGATGCCTGTGTAAAGTTAGTGGCTAGCAGACCATTTGACAACTAACTCAGGAAATCAGCTGTTTCCCCGTCCTCGCTCGCGCGCTCGGCGCTCGCCTTTGCCCTAGCATGTCAGCTGACTGCTGTAAAAATTGGATGATGCGTACAACTTTCCATAGCGTAATATTGTTTTATTCGTTGTGCTATTATTGTCCACAAAGTTTATCTATGTGAAACTTAATACTACTCCTGCCATCGCTCATTAAGTTTAATAAACCTACGTTGATGTCTGTTTTATGACAGTATTTAAAGGACGAAATGTACGTTAAAATTTATTTTTCCAGGGTCCAAGGGGGGGGGGGCTTTAGCCCCTGTAGCCCCCCCCCTTGGAACCGCCACTGATTGTATTAAATCAAAAGTAAATATTAAGGTTCGAGTGAGCGTAGCGAACGAGCTCCAACCTAAAGGTGAGTGAGCGTAGCGAACGAACTTCAACCAGGACGTGATTGAGCCATGCGAACGAGATCATCTTGAAAATTAAGAAGTTAAACGGGGCAAAGCCCGCGGGTTACAGCTAGTACTTTCTAAATTAACTCTGTTAATCACCTAGGCCTAAAACAATTTAATTAACTTAGGGCTTTTAGATGGAATTCATTAGTTTCCAGCATTTATCTGTATTTATCTGCAACACAAAGTGTATTGTTAAATGTTACCAAATCAACACTAAATTGGAAATTGGATTGATTTTCTTAAAGAAAAATGTTTGATTCCAAAACAAGCTAACTTAAATGTGAAATGTATGGAGACGAGATGAAGACCAGAATCAGAAT